AAAAAAAAAAAAAAAAAAAAAAAAAAAAAAAAAAAAAAAAAAAAAAAAAAAAAAAAAAGGGTGCAGCGCTTTATAAACCGTCATAGATCAAGCCAAAATACAGCCGCAGATATGATGAATCCAGAATCCGCGCCATTGCGGATTCAGCGCGGTTTGGCGTGGATTTTGCGGACCCGCCATGCCACTCTGGGGCTGCCAGCCAGCGGCAGATCCTCAGCACAAAGGCAGGAGCCACCACCTTCTCAGCTAGGCTGGAAAAACCTCAGTTCTGTACAACCATCTGCAGATGCCATTAGGCTGACAAGTTCACTAAATTCAGGGACTTCCAGGCTTACTTCTGGGTCGCCCACCTCTTTTCTCCCTGTTTTCCCTTTCCATCTGTTTGACCTCCCCTTTTCCTTCCCATTTATTGTTTTTTTATTCAAACCGAAGAAGCTCAAGCTGCCTCTCAACAGACAACAGCTGTGAGAACCCAAGCAGCCCCCCTGCGTAAGGGGCTACCTGTATTTAGATGATAAATGGTAGTTTAGCTAGAGGACAGACAGTTCCGATCTGCCCATCGTACGTCCTGCTCTGGGACCAGGGTTTTTCCGCGGAAAACCCTCGACGTTAAATAGATCAATCAATCAATATTGAGGCTCAGGAATCGGGATTCGAGAAATCGATTGTCCGGACTGCACGAGGCTATTACGATTTACGAGTGAGGATTATCAGACGAAACTGAGACTAATCTAGGAAACCGAACGCCAGGAAATGCTTCCCGAACAAGCTCATGTAACACGACCAGGAGATAGGAAGGGCTAAATGTGGATATCAATTAGATATTGTCAGAATGAAAGGACATTTAACAGGCATATCACACTAGGTCGGTTATCTTCCTGCCTCGGCCCGACTGATCTGTTCCAAGGCATCTTTGATCAATTCTCGAGTCTCTCCATTTGCACACAGAGCATCCCGAGCAGCTATCACACCCTGTTTCCACTCATTCCACCGTTCAACGTCAAAGCCCCTTTCCTCACATCCATCGTCGTTGTCAAAAGGCCGCTGATTTTTACAATGAGACCAAAGCCGGTCTGCCGCGATCTTGATCCACAGAGAGGCTGCTCGTACTGCTGTTTCGGACTGTTCCCCTTTTTGGCAATCTCTATCGCCATCAAAAGCGTCATTTAATGCGAACAGGCCAAAGTTTGCAAAGTCCAAGGGATGCAAGGACTTGGTATCATCATAGTCAACTTTTGCAGCGGCAGTAAGCTGTGCTAAGAAGGCATTTTTATTTTCCCATTTTATTATCTCAGCTTGTGTGTGAATTTTATGGTGATCTGGAAATGATATTAGAATAGATACATAGGTAATATCATAGTAAATATAAACTTACCAAAGTTCCAAAAATCAGTAACATATATTCCTAATGTGGGAAGATCTTGCCACACACATTGTCCGTCTTGATCTCTAACCTGCTCTCTTGTTTTTGGATTTCTCACAGAGGTTTTCTGGAGCTGTGAGACAAATTCAACAAGATTTGCCTGCTCAGCAGGTACGGTATTGGTAGCAATGTCCATAATCAGAGCGCAGAGATTGAAGGCAAAGCCATCATCTAATGTAGTGAGCTCTTTCAAAGTAAGATTGACAACCTTTTCTACTGCTTCTTCTACCGACGCATTAGGATATCTGACGAGGTTGTAGAGAATGTTGAACTCGTCAATTGGTAAGTGGTGGGGATCGAAATTTTCCTTGACGGCGTTGAAGAGGGAGCTTTCCATTGTGTCAAAGATATCCACGAGGGTTTGCACAAAGGCGGGGTTGGGGGGGGGGGGGGGGGGGCAGAAATGTAGTTCTATAATATAAATGTAAAGGTCGTTTTGTGGGGTCAGCCACAGCCTCTTTTTATTTTAAGTTGCGGGGCCAAAACAAACAAGGCTCATTTTCTTCATTTCATGCCAAACTATTTTCTAGTTTAATTAGATATATCATTCGAGGCTATGGGGACGAATTATCAGGGTCCTTCTGCAGGGTCTCTCCTTAGCTGGTAAGGCTGAATTAATTTCGGCCCCCTAGAGGCTATGAGATCTTCATCATGGCGGTAAACAGAGTATTTCCATGATGGCTAAAGGGGTGCTATTTGCTAAATAGACAGGAAATCTATATAAAGGGCTCACGAATCTTTAATTACCGACCACCGTCAACCAAACGAAATCTCAACACTTCAAATACTATCTACGCTTTAGCAATCCACGCACATGCTATAGCCAAGAGACTACATACCCGAGGTCATCAACCCACCATCCAGTGGGTTCCAGGACACGCAGGGATAGAAGGAAATGAGAAAGCCAACCAGGTAGCAAAGCAGGCAGCCAACAAACCCCCAGGAAGAGGCCCAAGAGAGATCTCCCTGGCATTTGCCTGTAGAGCCCAAACAGAAGCCATCACAATATGGAAGCAGAGATGGCTCACCAAAAAGCTCAGCCAACAATCTCAACAAGGTCAACGAATGTACAGGCCGCGGAAAAACTGGCAGCTCAACCCAACAGCTGCAGTTGCTCCCAAGCATCTAGCAAGCCGGCACTTTCAACTGAAGTCAGGACATGCAGCCATTGGAGTATATCTATATCAAATCAAGGCCCAAGAGGATGCAACCTGCAGAGATTGTGGCTTATCAAGGGAAACAATGCACCATCTTCTCTTTGAATGCCGAAAATGGCGACACCAGCGAAACAAGCTCTACAAGGATCTGGAGATGGATGGGGTCGTGAGACCCGCTGGTGCAGAGGAACACCCACAGGGACGACTGTTAGGAGAGCCCAGAGCTACCAGGGCGCTACTAGAATTTCTGGCTAGTACTAGGGTGGCTCTAACCCGAGCACATTCTCAGCGAACGGCGGAAATGGCCCGAAGAGACAATGAATGGGGACTGGAAGCACTGGAAGAGGCGATTAGAACAGGAGAAGGATAGGAGGGAGGGTAGCCTAAGCTGAATTCCCAGCTTAGGCCACACCCATCCTGCTCTGAAACACAAGGAGAGCACTCGGCTCGAAAGCCCTGCGCATACAGGCGGTTTGGGGCGAGGAAAAGGATCAGAAAGATTATAGAAGGAGGCTAGTGCCTCAGGAGCTTATGGGGATAAAAGACTGGAATAGCTACCAGCCTCAAGTCCACGAATAAGGGTCTATCATAGCTCTAGGGCTCGGCATGGACAATAAACTTGATTAAATGATAATAATATTTCGTTAACTGGCTTCCCATGGAGCAGACCGTGAACCCTGCGATCCTCGTAGAGATTTCTGAATTAACCTCCTACACCCCATGCCGGTAAAAACTTTTTTCTCGCAATGTCAACCGTATTCTTGTATTCTTCGGAAATCGTACGCATAATGGAGAGCGTCGGTTTTACAGAGCTCCTTGGGCTGCTCTAACCTCTCTCACTCTCCTGTAATGAAACATTGACCTTGACTGAGCTGTACACGTAGATTCATAGTCTCCATCATTTCTATATGTTGTCTCACTTCCCATTCGTAACCCTAACCTGTTTATATATCGCGCCATTTCTCTGCTTCACCTTCAGTGTTTAATTTTAGTATGGTTTACGAATAAACCTGACCATGCACAGATTATCTTTACAAAGTACATACTGGATTTTCTACAATCTGTACGTAATAAAATGAATGGACGGCGGCGAGTGATGACCTATGCGTAGATCGCCGAAATAGGATCACCTAGGTTATCGGTACGTATCCCACCACCACATCCGACACTCAAGCTCCGCCTACATAGCTCCGACATACAACGATCTCCACGGATAACCGATCAGATTATAGACAGCTGTACGGATCACCATGTACTTCTCAACTTGTAGAGGCAAGATATATACATATGAAAGATATAAAAAGGCTCCTGACTACCCCGACATGACATGAACTCCCACCCATCAATTTGATCTTTATCAAATCTAGTATACAGAATGTTACCCCCGATTACACTCTTCTGCCTCGCGGTAGGCACATTATTTCTCTTCTCTCGCCTATTGTCTATTGGTAAACGACCGAAGAATTATCCCCCTGGGCCTCCTACATTGCCGATTATCGGGAATATTCATCAGGTACCCATCCTTTACCTTCTGGTCCTCTTATCTTTCTGGAAGTTACTGACAAGACTAGATGCCAAACCACGATGCCCACTTGCAATTCGAGAAATGGGCACGTGAATACGGTCCTATCTATAGTCTGATGCTGGGCACGAAGTGCCTTATTGTCATCTCGAGCGAAGAAGCTGTTAAGGAACTCCTCGACCGCCGGAGCCGCATCTACTCCCATCGCCAGGATATGTATATTGGACAGACGCTGTGCAGTGGTGGACTTCGCGTTCTCATGATGGTATGCCTTTCCCCTTACCACCTGAATCAGGCCAAGTACTAATAGAATAAACAGGGCTACGGCCCGACCTGGCGCATGTGCCGCAAAATGATCCACGGTCTCCTCAACGTCGTAACCTCAAAATCCTACCTCCCCTACCAAGTGCTCGAGAACAAGCAAATGCTGTACCAATTCCTCACCGAGCCCAACGACTTCCTCAAGCACATCCGGCGGTACTCCAACGCGCTGACAACAACAATGGTCTTTGGCTGGCGCACACCCACCTACGAAGATCCCAAGATGATGCAGCTTTTTGATGGGTTCTCCGAGTTTTCGGATATCAACCAGACCGGCACAGCGGCGATGGTTGATTTCTTTCCGCTTCTGGGCAAGTTGCCGGAGTTTCTTGTGCCGGCGCAGCGGAAGGCAAAGGAGTTGCATAAAAACGAGAAGGCGCTTTATTTAAGTCATTGGCTACAGGCGAAAAAGGATATTCGGGCTGGTACTATCAAGCCATGTTTCTGCAAGGGCATGTTTGAGGCGCAGAAGTCTGAGGGTTTCAGTGATGACCAGGCTGCTTATATCTCCGGAACTCTCCTGGAAGCTGGCTCTGACACTACTTCTTCCACGCTCTACGCCTTCGTCCAAGCAATGCTCGTCTATCCCGACGTGCAGCAAAAAGCACAAGCCGAAATCGACCGCGTCATCGGCCCCTCCCGCATCCCATCCATGGATGACATCGATGCCCTCCCTTACATCCGCTGCATCATGAAAGAAACACTCCGCTGGATGCCCACAACCATCATGGGTGCCGTCCCGCATGCAGTCACCCAAGACGATGAGTATATGGGCTACTTTATCCCCGCGGGCGCAGGAGTCCTCCACAACGTCTGGGCCATCCACATGGATCCCGACCGGCACCCCAAACCCCGCCGCTTCAACCCAGACCGGTACTCCGGCGACGAGCAGAGTCTGGGCGATGCAGCTGCGAACCCTGACCCATCAAAGCGCGATGTCTTCACATTCGGTGCGGGGCGGCGCATTTGCCCTGGTATTCATGTTGCAGAGAGGAGTTTGTTTCTGGGTATGGCGCGGATTCTGTGGGCATTTGACATTCTACCCAAGATTAATGTGAGGACAGGGGAGAAAATTATGCCTGATACAGAGAGGTTGACGCAGGGATTTGTTTGTATGCCAGAGCCGTTTGAGGCGGACATTAAACCTCGGTCGAAAGAGAGGGCGGGTGTTGTGGTTAGGGAGTGGGAGGAGGCGAGGAAGGAGAATTTGGATGAGAGGTTGCAGTGGACAACGCAGTAGTTTTGGCTACCATTATGATACATTGTTATGAATACATCACTGTCGATTGACATATAACACAGTTCCGTGGTCGTAATTAGACAATACTCGATGTCGTCCCACAAGGCTTATCATCCAAAACAACGTGCTCCGGCGCCTTTCCATCCTTCAACGGAATCATCAACCCTATAGTCTGCTCATCACTCGGATACGTCGCATAATGTCCCTCGCCCTCCGTATCCATCGCGAAAAACAATCCATGCCCACCGCCCAAAATAACCGACTGCTGTTCCGGCACCGTCGGCACGGTGATATTGATCGATCCGGAGAGGTACACGACAATCTGTGCGTTGGGCGCATTGTGTAGTCCGTAATCTTCGTGTGGCGGGCGCACGACGTAGTTTACTTTAGTTACGTCTGCGAGACCTAGGTTCATGGCGCCGGCCACCGTGCCATCGAGGGTCGCGGCGTCGAAGGGGGTGGTTAGTTGCCAGCATTCGAAGGCGGAGGAGGTGTTGTCAGGCGTGTTGACGATGGCGGTTGCGGTAAGGTGTTTGTCCTGGTTCTTTCTAGGTGCGGCCAAGACGCTGGAGGAGAGGGAGAGGATGGAGAGGAGAGTAAAGAGGCCCATTTTGTACGATAAATTAGGTATATTTTGCGGGTGTATGGGGTCACTGCTGTATACAAGTGGTTTGCGAAAAAATTGCGGATGCATCAAATGTGCAGCAAGAGCGATATTTATCACTCAATATCTGCCAATTCCGCAGACTGAAACCGAGCGAACACCTCCTATTATTATTATGGAACTGCTTTCAAAAAGAGGCCAATCAAGGTCGTCGATCTATAAACCATAACATGATTGCCGAAGTCAAATGCGGATTCTTGCCCCACCGGGATGTTGGTCGGCATGATGATGATCGGCTTCGGAATGTTCATGGCTGAGCTGAAGTATGCTTTTTGTTCGTACTATGTATTGAACTATCAGATAGTTGATATTTCGGCCGATATATTATTTCCTGGTACACTCTCGGCACAGGCGAACACACGTGCTGAGTTTTCAAGTTTGTAAAAGAGTGTGTTGTATTCAATTGCACATGGCTCGTTTTGTAGTCTAAACGATTGTTTCCCTTCAGCCAGCGTCATAGTTCCTGGTGCCTTCCGAACACAATCATTCCATTCAGATATGTGGTAAGTGTGTCGGTGCTTGATGGTTTAGCTTTGAGCCTCTGGGGACTGGTGAAGGAAGGACTTTAATACCTTTTCTCGATGACTGTCTCATGTTCCAGCCGAATCCCAGGGGAGCCTGGTATTGTCGCTGGTACATTATAGACAGATTATCACTACTTTCCTGCTGGTGAAATAACACCGCCCGAGTTAACAGGTGTCTGAAGGACCTTTGCAAAACAAAACCTGTGCGGCCGCAGACTTCACTGAGTGAGTATACAAGAACGGGAACTCTCACTGCTCTGACCAAAATCTCATGAATCGGGCTTCGCCATTATAGCGCATAATGTTCCGTTAAATGCTGTTGAAATGCCTCGGGTTACAAATTCGCAAGAACCGAGACTCATCACGGGTCAGCTATAGGGTGACAAAATTTTTTTGCCTTCGTGCGTGCTATGTTCTCGGGGGTGACTGTAATATGTCTCGGGACTCATCGCGAGACAACAATAAAGACAGACGCGACACTCCAAATCACTTCAAAGATTCTCGCTGACATGGGTGAAATTTGATCGGAGTCGGCATTGACGCTTCCTTCACGCGTGGAGAAGTCGACCCATATTATGAAACGACGCGGCTTCCATCCCATAGATTGGCTCGAACACTTGAATTACTTCTTCTCACGGTGAGTATGTAAGCAATTGACGAATCAATTCAGTGGATGAGCGGAAGCCACCTGGCACCAGTTCGCGCGGCGCCTGCACTGGATTCAATGTGCGGATCCTTGGCCACGATTTAGGGGATCTGTTAGACCATGAGCCTGAATGGAACCAGAATAAGAGTGCGTCTGCCTTGTTAGTCATGCTTGCAACCCGACAGCAGCCCCGTCCTCATTGTGATAACCATCACGAATATACTTCAGGGCTGGATAACGGCGTTCAAAGGAGCGGTCATTAGTGCAGACCCCACCGTTGTTAAGCACAGAGGGCGAGTAAGGTGAACGAAAGAATCAGTTGCGTGATGTGCACAAATAAGTCAAAACCAATGAAAGGACGAAAGCCGTATTGGAATGGAGTGCGCACTCCATTCACCTTAAGCCCTCTCTGCTGCCCCGGAGAAAACATCGGACGAACAGTTACGGATAACAGATATGGGCACGTCTATTCATAAAAACTTGTATTTATTTTCTTCTCCCTCTTCTCCCTCTTCTTTTCTATCTTCTTTTTATTTATTTTTATTTATTTTTTTATGCTATCTAAATGGATTGTCTCTGCGAACTTCATTAAGCTCATACTCCAATTGCCATTAAAGGTGTATCAGGACTCATATTGTCGATATTCCTGACATCCAGGAGGGTGAGCGGGAACCACAAACGCCTTCCCAGCAGGTTAACCTAGTGAAACCAAGTACTTCGTGAGAAAAGGATGTATAAAGCGGTGTTAATTCATAAACTCCTGTATAACAGAAGCAACTAATAACTAAAAACTTGCCACCGCTGAAAGCTCAAAATCAAATCATTTGCCTGCTGCATACTCGTCTCATCATACTTCTTCAGAATCGAATCCAGCGGTTCATCATCCAACCTCTCTAACTCATTCCTCGGCTGTGACCCCGACACGCACAACTCCGTAAGCTGATTGACCATCAAATTCGCCAGTAACCAGTACTCGGGACAGTATCTGCAGAAGCCTACTCGCCGCCACATTCGTTCGGGTTGGTGCATAATTACTTGGGCGTTGTAATAGCCGTCGTCGTCGTCGGCGCGGCTGACGTGTGGGGAGAGTTTGGGGGGAAGCGATGTTATAGAGAGTTCCCAGATAGCGCGCCAGTTATCTAGTGCGTTACGAATTGGGGCAAGGAGTTGAACGGTGCCCCAGGAGTTGCTGCGGTATTGGAAGATTTGGGAGTGGATGGCGGAGGTTAGGGCGAACAGGTTTAGTGGGCCTAAGGCGGCTAGGTCGTAGCGGAGATTCATTGCCAGGTTCTCCTGGAAGAGGCTTTTGAATGCATTGCAGAAAGATATCTTCCAGTATTGGCTGTTTGCAGGAAGGAGACGTTTGATTTGTTCGTAGCAGTCATCTGCTGTCGATGCTTGGAAACAGGCATCCGGCACGGCCATGTGGATTTTCATTTCCTTGATTACCATGCGGGGAGGGAGATTGTTGAAGAGAACGAATGCTGTATCGAGGAGGAAGATCCAAATCAGGACGCGAATTAGCTCTTCTCGAGTGGCGAAATCCTTCCATTCGAATTGGTATCGAGTATGCTCGCTGTATTTAGCATGTTTGACGGTCGTCAAGTCGATGTCTCGAGCAGTCTATCAATTAGCATATACGTTAGACAGGTTCAGTATCGGCGGACTTACAGAAACAAGACTAGCAAAGCGATAACGTCGAATCCGCCGTTTGCTCGCATCACTACCTTCCCAGTTCTGGTATAAGCACACCATGTAAGCTGCTTGGAGTGCCTGGACGATGTTTCGATGTAGACTAGGACAGGATGTCGCAGAAGTGAAATCACTATTAAAGTCTTCATCGGTAAAGACAAGCTCCTCGACACAGTTGAACCACATCCGCGCCTCTTCGTGATCGGACGTTTCGGGCGACATGCACGCACCTGTTGGGTTAGCTAAATGTACATTCAGAATGGGAAAAACAAAAAAAAAAAAAGCCTACCAAGTAAGGTCATAGCAGCTAATACGGTTGGCTTAGCTGACGTTGAATCGAAACTAGGTCGATGAACGAAATTGACATTCGGATGCCAGACCGCCCAATATAATCCTAGGTATCTGCGCAGGTTCACTGGCGAGAAGAACCGTAGACATGACTGCTGTAAACCTGGTGACCAGTCCAGTGTGACAGAGCTATTCCGTGGCTTCACCATCACCACATCCTTGATGAGGTGTAATATCTGATGGGTCTTGAGCGAAAGAGGGTCATTCAGCCATTTCAGCGATAATCCATCGATTAAGGGCGATCCCGGCATATCCAACACCTCTGGTGAAGATGATGGTGATGATGATGATGCCCCACATTCACTTTCTACCTCGCGTTCCAGGCTAGAAAGCACCTGCGCCCGTTCCTCTGGTGTCCCGCAGTCAAAGCTATACGCCAGCCCCGTGTTGCTAGTCATCTTGTCGAGAAACTGAAACGAAGTATGCATATTATCCGGCCCCGGTGGACCCTCCGATGCCATTGCAATTAAATCCTGCCAGCTAGGGCTGGCGTGGTCCAGCACGTTCGGATCGCTGAGCGCCATCGCATCATGTTCACCAGAATTCGCCACCAAATTGTCCGCACCAAAGTCCGACCAGCGAAAAGCCATCGTAAGTGTCGTTTCTGGCGCCGGCGGTGCTCGTGCTAGCTCTGCATTTCCCGGACTCGCTATTGTGTTCCTATCCTCTGAAGGCGCGACAGAATAACAGCACTCAACCATCTGCTGCGCGCAGCGATCACACGGCTGCTGCAAATTACATGCTTTTTTCTGTCGCACGCAGCGATCACAAGCTCTCCGACGAGTTGTCAGCCCCCGTGATCCCCTTCTCTCCAAACAAGTCTGCAGGTGTCTTCTCAGCACATCCGCCCGCTGAAACCGCCCGTCGCACTGCGGACATCGGTGGGGGCGTTCGGAAGTATGAGAACTACGGTGGCGCTTCAGGTGTTCACGACGCTTGTAATGTTTCGGACAAATTGGGCATTGATAGATCGAATTTGACTGCATTTCGGTTGCAATTGAGGGATGTAGTGGGTTGGGATATGGCTGTGGGAGGCTGTGGGAGGCTGTGAAGTGGGAGACCTCGATACCGCTTTGGGAAAGCCGAATGCCGGGGATTATGTGGGGTAGTGTGGGGGAACACGTGATGTTATAGGGGCCTTCAGTGGTTTCCTGATTGGTGAAAATCCGGAGAAGTGTAATAACTATTCAGTGATTAGTTTGTGCTTTCAAGATACATGCTTTTTCCATGTGAAGGTAAATATGTTGCAAACACAACCTCGTTCATCTCTTTTTCTCGGATTTGTTTATATGACATGTCAATCTCGAAGGAATTCAATGTATTGAGGAGCTGTATCTGTTTTTTGAGAGCACAGATAATAATAACCTGGTCAGCATCATAAAACTTCTGTTGGATGTAATCCCATATCTAGTAAACAAGTGCCTCCCGAGTAGCTCTTAACTGATTGCCAACTGTATACCTTTATCAATGGATCAGTATTCTGCAAATATATAACCTCATTAAAGTGATGCCCTGCTGGATAGGTCATAAGGCATTGCTTTTGAATGGTTGCAGAGATACGATCAATATTTGAGAATGATGCATGGATTTCAGCAAGTGTATATGCATCATATCCATGACAAAATGACTCCAGCTCTGGACTCCGAATGAGTTGAGCTATAATATAGTTAGCAAGCACTTGGAAAGTAGCTGAGAAGCACTTACCCTAAAGTTAAGCTGGGGTTTCTCATCTGCCTGATTATCTTCTGAATTCCCATCCTAACTTGCTCCGGTGGTCTGATGTCACGGAGTACGGGCATTCACCAACAACGCAAGATGTTTGTAAACTTTGGCCTGTTTGAATATAGGGCAGGAACCCCCTTCGCACACTAGATAGCGCAGCGCTGGCAGGCCCAGCTTCCTTCTTTCCTTCTCCATGTTAGTATTTCGACAGAGAGTCTACCAATAAATTTATATTGTTCGAGACTGTCACATAATACTAACATCATCCTTACTCTTTTACACACCCCTTCTCTAGCGCATACAGCTAGGACTCCATTGGAGAGATCCACACGCTTGCGACAGAGAACCCCCAACAAACAATCAATGAATGAACTAGCCAAGATGGCTCGAGATGCCACTGAACGAACCCAGAGTCGACATGTGACGCTGGATATGAAGGAACAGGGTCGAAAGATTATCACCTACAAAGAATTTCTGGCACAGTGCCGCGACCACCCCAGTGAACTGTTTGACTATGTTGCTGATACCTTCAATAATATGATTGACCTCGAGAATGAATACTGTGGGCAAATGGATGGGAGCCTTGTCCAGACCCTTCGTACTGAGCTCCAAGAACACAAGACCTGACTGAAGGACAAGGAAGACCAGATAGATGATCTTGTGATGGAGCGTGATGAGTACAAGACTGCCTATGCCGAGGCACAGTTGCATTCTCGGGGGTTCACTGCAGAAAGTGTCAAATCAACAAGCAAGTCAGAGAAAGTTCCTGACCCACCTCTCCTCACCGATAGCAAAGACCCCAAGTTCGAGGACTGGATGATTGAGATGAAAGGAAAGTTCGTGGTGAATGCAGACCGGTTGGGTGATGATCAGATGAAGCGAATTTACCTTGTCTCCCGAACTAGCGGCCCTGCTCGACAGCAGTTGAGTGTCAGACTGCGTGAGGACACCACCAATCCCTATACTAGTGTTGAACAGATGTTCAAGACACTCACCACTGCTTTCCGGAACCCCCACCATCGCATGGAAGCTGATGCAGAACTGCAGAAACTGTACATGCGTCCGGGTGACAAGTTCCCTGAGTTCCTGGCCAAGTTTCTATTGCTGGCAAGTGAAGCAGGAATTCCTGGTGACTGATACAAGATTGAGCTCAACCGACGTCTCACTGACAAGGTCAAGGAACTGGCCCTTCCCTACATCAGTGAGGATAAAACTTTTGATGACTTCACAGCTTATGTGGGCACAGTTGTGACAGTCTCGAACAATATAAATTTATTGGTAGACTCTCTATCGAAATACTAACATGGAGAAGGAAAAGGAAGAAGCTGGGCCTGCCAGCGCTGCGCTATCTAGTGTGCGAAGGGGGTTCCTGCCCTATATTCAAACAGGCCAAAGTTTACAAACATCTTGCGTTGTTGGTGAATGCCCATACTCCATGACAATCACTACCAGAATGATTGGTCAGAAAAGCTCCCTATGATGGACTTTGCTGGCGCATTATTAGTGGGTGAGTCCACTGAGACTTCTCCCTTTCTCATTGACAGTGGTTACACCCCCAGAACGTCTTTTGACTGGACGTCAAAACTTAATGGAACAGTCACAGAGACAAATGCTCAGCAAAGACTACAACAATTAAAAGAGACATGGGACTGGGTGCAAGAACAAATCTGCACTACCCAGGCACGTCAACAATGGAATGCAAACTGTTCCAGGCGGGGAGTGGATTTCGATGTAGATGACATGATAATGGTATCAACAAAGAATTGGAACACAGGCCGCCCGAGCAAGAAGCTTGATCATCAGTGGGCGGGCCCCTTCCAGATCCTTGCAAAGGAGGGAAACGCGTTCTGGATTGATCTGCCAGACTCTATCAAGGTCCACCCAGTTATCAACCCAGAACACCTCCAAAGGGCCTCCACATCTGAACCTCTCCCTGGCCAGCACGCAGACGCACCACCACCGATCACTGTCAATGACCAAGATGAATGGGAAGTGGAAGAGATCCTTGCCTCCCGCCTGAGATACCGGAAACTGCAGTACCGAGCAAAGTGGATTGGTTATGACAACAACCTGAACTGGTACCCTGCCCGAGACTTCAAGAACAGTCCAGTGAAGCTGCAAATTTTCCACACAATGAACCCCGAAGCACCAGGTCCACCCTGTTGATTGCTTGAATGGCTCCGCGCGGCGGAAGATGAAGAGTTCCTGGATGACCATCCAGAGGACGATTATCCAGTTCCAAAGGACTGAGGGCAGCCCTTCATCCGGAAGGGAGGGGGTAATGTCACGGAGTACAGGCATTCACCAACAACGCAAGATGTTTGTAAACTTTGGCCTGTTTGAATATAGGGCAGGAACCCCCTTCGCATACTAGATAGCGCAGCGCTGGCAGGCCCAGCTTCTTTCTTTCCTTTTCCATGTTAGTATTTCGATAGAGAGTCTACCAATAAATTTATATTGTTCGAGACTGTCACACTGTAGTGGATTTTGGCATCAAATTATAGTATATTGTCTCATCCATTCATGCTGTCCTGTCTTTACAAAAGCAGCATCACCGCCTGGGGGCAGATTGAAAATTCAAAATCAGTGTAGTCCTGTTGGAAATTGTCACATTTGTACTTCCAGTGAGATGAATCTCAGGGTGTAACGCGTTCCGCATGATGTATTTATGAGGCGTTTTGAGCAGGAAACACTTTATGCCTAAGGCAGAAAGCGTTTGCGCTAGCTGGATTAGTAATCAAACATAAACTGGTGCTCGGATGCCACATCGCGACTCCTGTCATGCGTTCATGTCATGCATGGTGTCCTAACAGCAGGTCATCCATTAGCTCTTTAAAGACAGATTTACCGCTAGCTATGCAGGACGATATTGCTGAATTACGACGTCAACTGGAGGAAGAGAGACGGGCAAGGGAAGAAGAGAGATGGGCAAGAGAAGAGGCGGAACGGCGACAAGAAGAGGCAGAACAGCGCCAGGAAGAGGAGAGACAGGCCAGAGAAGAGGAGAGACGGGCCAGAGAAGAGGAGAGACGGGCCAGAGAAGAGGAGAGACGGGCCAGAGAAGAGGCAGAACAACGACTGCAGCCCAACTCTCTATTTCGCCTTCTCGATCGCTGCCACGAATCTCTGTCACAGACGATCCGAGTCGAGACGAACGCGACCCTGACGACCCAAGGCAACGTGACTGACCCCGTCAATCGACTTTTTCCCAAGCGGATTGTTCCATGGCTTGATTTCCCTCAGATCCAGGAGCAAATCTGGAAGAAACTCGAGCGTGCAGTCGGCTTTACCTCACGTCCGCTCTTTCCTTCCGATAACCAGCTAGACTATGTCGCAACAAATGTCCAAGACCGACCGATTTACTCAGAAGCGACTTTACGAAATTTCGAGCGAGACACTGTGGATAACTTTGTTGAAAAGATTGTCGAGGCATTACGAGGCGATGAAACTTTGCAACAGGAGTTTGGTATTGAGGGCCGAGTGGCCTTTTATGACCGCACAAACTCAACCTCACTGGATGACAATTTGGAGATGCATCTTGACGACGCACCCCGTCAACCAACAAACACCAGCCGCGGGAGAGGTAGAAGAAAAGGGAAGGGGAAACAAATGGGTCAAAGTCAGACGAGGGCTCGCTCACGAAGGCGGCGCAATCGCCGTGCTGATCAGTTCTGTGTTCACGTCGTGGCTGATGAGCGCCAGATACCAGTATATGCGGTGGAGTTTAAAGCCCCTCACAAGCTTACAGTCGCGGAATTAGTCGCGGGCTTGCACGAGATGGACCTGGCCCGCGATGTTATTGATCAGGAAGGAGACACATTTGAGTTTCATACCACCCGCCTTGTTGCCGCTGTTGTCACTCAAATATTCTCATACATGCATGACTTGGGGATACAGAACAGGTGTATTCGGACAGGGGAGGCATTTGTCTTTCTACATATTCCAGAGGATCCCACAATAGTTCAATACTACTTGTGTTTCCCAAATCAAGACGTGCAGGCAGGCGATGAGAGCCGTCTCCACCGGACTGCCGTGGGCCAGATGCTTGCGTTCACACTCCAAGCGCTGGCCGCTGAAGCTCCGTCCCAAGAGTGGCACAATATCGCATATGAACAGCTTTCGACCTGGAAAGTCGAATACCTGGACGTCTTGCGCGATATTCCCGAAACAATTCGCAAGGAGCCGCCGCCCTCGAATTATCAGCCTTCATACTGGAAACTGAATCCAAAGACACATAATATATGTTCCCACGCTCGCTGTAATTTAGGTGTATTTATCCCGGTAGGTTCGCTAAGTGAAAGTAGTGATAGTGATGAGGATATGCCTTTGCTGTCCACCGCACCAGCCGCGCGCAGTCGATCAAGTCGCAGGAAAGGTAAACATTTATCAACTGGCGGACGCGAACGGGCACAACCCGACCAAAGAACAAAGCAAACTCCTTCTCAAAAGGTGCAGAGACCGTACTGCACCATGGCTTGTATCCGTGGTATGGTCCACGGGGGTCCTCTGGATAAGAAGTGCCCTAACTGGCAACATCACGGCGGTCAGAGGCATCCAATGGGCCCGCGGGAGTTCACGCGCAAGCTGCACCGTCAACTTGTCCAAAATCGAAATAAGGGTTTTGAGCCGCTACACATCCGTGGTCGGACGGGGTATCTCATGAAAGCGACTCTATTGTCTCATGGGTATACGGTGGTCATCAAGGCTACAACAAAGGAGAATCAGCATGCCCTTAAAACAGAAGTTGACAATTATCGCAAGCTCCGAGGCTTGCAAGGATATCAGATCCCGGTCTGTTTAGGCCTCTTTGAGCCAAGCATCGCATACTGGTACCATGGTCGTGTAATGGCGCATATGATGATCCTGAGCTGGTCTGGAACTCGGCTTCAGCGGATAATCAAAGACGAAAATCTGGATTTCTTCCACAAAGAGCGAGAGAAAGCTCTGAAGTCCCTCCAGAAGTATGGTGTTGAACACAAAGACAAAGAGTGGCGTAATATGCTGTGGGATGAACAGACCCGCAATTTGGTTGTCGTTGACTTGGAGGACATGGAATGGCTTAAGCGGCCTCGGCCTTTCCAACCAACACCTGGCAATTCATTGGGTCGTCGTATCGTCCCGAGAAGGAAAAATGAACGAAGGCGCGTATCTAGTCGAGCTGCTGTCTGTACATCATGATGGCACTGGAAATGGCCGCCGCTTGTCACTATCCCAGTCTTATTCCCTGTGCGCCTTGTTGACTTCGGATTGTTGTGTCTTCCTGGGGAAAACCACTGTTCGGAGGAAGATGATGGTTTGGCTTTCGGCGCGATCAGCCATTTGTTGAGTCATCCAATTAATACGCTACTTAGTTATATTTGGTCAAGCGACTGGAGGGGTTCACCACACGGCCATGAAATAATCTTAGTTTTACCAAGCACTTTCTATTGTCACGGTGGCAGGTCAAATAGGCCGGAACCCCCCGAAGGTGGAGGCACTGGCATTGACCAGTTCAGATAAGGATGGCCCGGTCCATGGATAAAGAATTAAACCGATCTCTACTAGTTGCAGACAAGGCAGAAACAATGTAAAGGATCGTGGGCGTGGCAGCGTAAACATACGGATAGCTAGAACTGTGCCGCAGTGGATTTTAATGCCAAAGACATTAATCCATTCCTGCGTATCTGTCTGATGTCAGAAGCATGTCGTATCAGGCCAACCCCCTTCTCTAAACTGGTCGACGCACTACTGTCATGGTCCACTCCATCGGCAAACCGGTGGACGTTGATCCTTGTCCGCTGAATTCCACATTTGTCTCGCTCATGCCCAGGTTTTGTCCGCCCATGCCAACGCTCCTATCCCACACGTTCCGCTGCTGCTTGAGGACATGCATGTCGAAAATTAAGATGGTAAATGATAGACTGGCTACGACTAATGTAGTCTATTCGACCACAGAGCGGACTTTAGTATTCTTTGATAATAATTGATTAAATTAGGTTACGGCCTCTATCAACTTGTGTTCCAAAGCGCCAGTCTAAAAAGAAAAATAATGAATCCCATGTCAAGAAACTCCGATTCGCAACACTCCAGGAACAGATCTTCTCAAAAGAATGCTCCGATAATGTACAATTATTATTAGCAAATGGTATGAAGTCGTTTTAGCGGCTGCGTCTCTACCCTGCACGAAGGCATCCGCTTTCTCTTCAGTCGACGATCCAATTTAGCCCAATGAAAATCAATAATCAGTGCCCGTCGCAGCTCAGTGTTCCATAGAATATTATCCGGTCGAAGGTCCTCATGCAAAACTCCGAGAGAGCGGATCTTCTTTACAGATCTCGAGATTTCACGATTCAACTCTCCCTATTGGATTCTGGACAAGAAGGCATATTCTCAATACTGCTGATAGGCTTCCCACCCCACCCCATAAGTAGCATATGCCGAATTGCCCCAGCCCCATGGAGGAAGTAAGTTTTCTTTAGGTCAATTGCTCCCAGGAAAACAGGAACTGCAGAACCCTGAGCCTGCTGCAGGACATGATAAACCTCAGCTTCGCGCAGGAGCTCCGGCCACCGGCAGGAGGTCGTGCCTTTTCCAACAACAGTGTACCCATATGCAGCACAGGTGACCTTGAACGGCGCTCCTGATGCTCCACAGTCTCCCATTGGTGTACAGTTCCGGTCGATATTGTCACCCAGCTGTCGCTTCACCAGTTGCACCAAAGTTGTGGAATCAATGGTGTGCCGCCTACCGTCTCCACCCTGTTTATGGAGCATCACATTCGGGCAGTCATCATCGAGCTGACCACCCTGCTGCAGGCCCAGTAAACAACGCTGTGTACAGAAGTCTGCGTCATGCCGCCCATGTTGACTGTCTGACTGTGAAAAATGTCGCGAACCCGCCCGGCGTACCGTCCGTTGGACCGGCGATGAACTGATCTCGCTGAGGCCGCGTTTCTGACCTTTTTGACCTGAAGCTTCAAAATCCGAATCGGGATCTGAAGATTCATCATGGTATGTTGTAGTAGAAGGTGAGCAGCCAGGCCGAGACCGGGTTGGCGCTCGGCGTCCATCAGCGGTAGGGGATTCTGCTGAGGATGACGACGGCGGCAGAAACTCGGATGTGGTGGACTTGGGGCTAGGATAAGTGCGCTTTGAATTCGGGGTATGTTGTGGCGATTCAAATTCGGAGACTGGAGACCAAGCGCCATCAAAGCTACCAAAGCTAGACTTCCAGATTGGGAGCTGCGCGTCTGCTTCGTTTCGCCACTGTTGGCTACGAGGACGTGAACGAAAACTCATCAGACAGAGACACAATACCCAAGCGATAGCTGTTGCTGGCTGCAGAAAACTCTGTTATCTTCTGAGTTCACTTCCTCGTTCGGTTCACACAGATGGTAATACAGGGTGCCTGGACAATTACCGGATGATTCAATAGCATATCCTATATTGTCCATATAGCCTCATAGCAGTTCCTCCTCTCTCAATCTCCGGATCCAATAGTAACGTTATCCGACTATCATTATACGATTGTGTCTGTAATGGGTTGCTGAACCCGCAGGCTCCCGCACCTCCGGGCCCACGGGCCCGCGGGTCCATGTATTTTGGAATTATTACAGGCCGCGCAGTCTTTCGATACTCCTTATGCCTCAATATAAAGTCACCATTAACAATAATGTCAATGCCTGGTTTTCCGATATCCCCAATCCCAGAAAATCATGACCGATCGAACTTACGTTGAGCAACTAGCACCGCTAGATTTGCCCATGCCTAGAACCTACATTAGGGTTCTTTTTGTTTTCGAACATGCCGGTTCAACGCTCCAAATCACTCAAAGTCTCCAATCCGGTCTTGATAGGCTTTCGGAACAGCTGCCTTGGCTATCTGGGCGAGTCTTTCCAAAGGCATCAGTTCAAGACAGAGCTTCCTCTATTGAGATCCGATGGAATGCGAACAATGCGCCAACTCTTGTCGACAAAGGGACTATAGCGGCATCATACAAATGCGCATCTTCTCATGGAATGCCCCCAGAAACCATCCCATCGGACATGTGGCCAGTTCCAAGCATGATCGACGATGCTCTCTTCGCAACGGGAGTTCCTGTTTTCGCCACGAGCATCTTTCGCTTCGCTGATGAAGGTCTGGGCTTGTGTGTTTGCTTACATCACAACGTTGTCGACGGGACTGGATTCTCGGGAATTATGCGACTGTGGGCCCGAAACGTCGCCGATCCTAGATTCACTTTTTCCAGTTCGTCCCGGAGTAGATCTGAACGGCTTGCGGAAGCGCTATCGTTCGATCTCCAAGAGACCTCATCAATCTCTTCCGAAAATCTACTCCTGCTGCACCCCGAATACTCAAAAATACCACCTACTGTACCAGATGAACTCCCCTCATGTACATCCAAGCTCTTTATGATTTCAATGCACTGGATTGATATTCTGAAGGAGCTCATGCGCAAATATATGTCGAAAGCACCGACCACGAATACTGTGATATGCGCACTTATCTGGACCACAGTCACCCGGGTTCGAATGCAATATAATCCATCTCTTGGAGGAGACATCAGTCAATTAGCAATGGCAGTCAATGGCCGACAGCGCATTGGCGAGGACTTCTCGACCCTCGAATCCCCTTTTTTCGGAAATGCAGTGTTTTACTCCCTGTCGAAGTTTCCAGCTGGAGCCTTAGCTACATCCGATGAAGCTCCTGTGCGCTTGCTCGCCAAAATATGTGAACACATTGCCCAGTCGCAATCTCATTCCGTGATTAACTCGCGGTACATCGCGGAGGTCTACCACCTGATAGATCGCATGGAGGATTGTAGGTCTCTTTTTGTGGGCTGGGACCTCTTTGGATCGCGCGATCTCACGATCACAAACTGGGCTGATCTTGAGCTATATGAGATGGACTTTGGCGATTTACTGGGACGGCCGAAGTTCGTAAGGCTGCCTTATATGGAAGCAGATGGGGTTGCTCTTATTCTACCACGCCAGCGGGCTGTATCTCAGGAAGTGCTCGAAGTAATGGTCATGCTGCGGAGAAATCATATGGATGCTTTGGAAAGTGATCCACTATGGCAGATCCTTCTCGCAATTGATAGGAAAAATGAGGATGATGTGAGGTTTAATATCTAAGACTAAAATGAAAAAAGCTCAGTTAACAATTTACTACCTCGTTCAGAATAATCTTTAACAGGACTGTTGCATCAAGATAGGAAATTCAAGCTTGCAATACAAGTGCGACAAGATTTCAAAATAGCTCGGCTCATTCTCCTGGGTCAGTATTCCGAGTTGAATGAGTAACTGAACCACAACAATTGCACTATTTGGCTTAAAGAGTCGCTGTTTCAAAGCCTGAAGTACTTCCTCAATCGTGTACAGTCTGAAGCATTCCACTTCGGGATCCCCTGGTTCGGGAATCATGCTTGGATCCAGTTCCAGCTCATAGGTATACTCAACCTCCGGTTGGAACAGGCCGCTCTCCCCACCAGCTTTGTTCCCACGGATGTGGAAATATGTGAGCGGCGTCATTGGTTTAACCTTCATCCTAATTATTTCTTCTGGTATGGATGCCTCTTCTTCTGCTTCGGAAATAAGAGCTTCAATTGGAAGCTTCCCAGCACCGAGACCACCGGCTGCAGTGCTATCGAGCATGCCTGGATAGGTTTTTTTTTCTTCTGATCTCTTACCAATCCATAGCTGGAGGCCTCGTTCATCCCTCACATAGCAGATAAGCTGTATACCATATGTCACAATCCCAAACAAGGCACTTGCGCAACGCTCTATTTCGAGCAGGGCTTCGCCCCTTGGACCATAAACCGGGAAAGTTTCATTGCGCCAGCTATTTAGCAATGATATGGTACCTAGCTTTTTTGTGGCCTTGAGAGTATCGTCAAGCGCTCGAGAGCGCATATCGGCTGTTGCCGTTGCTGGTGTAGCCAAAGTTACAGTTTGTTGGTGGTGGTCGATTGACCACGTATGGGACCACTGGATTTTTCGAACAATATCTCGTGTCATATATCCCAATACAGAATCGCATCCGTTCACTCTAAATGCATAGGGCTTTTCCGGATCTTCTGAACGGGTTGTGGGCTCGTCGCACGAAAAGCTATCGACCAATTTTAGCGATGTTTGTATGAGAAGCAGAAATTTTCCTGGAGAAATGCATACTTGTCGCATTCTCTGACCACACCCAGGATTCCTCTCTCCATTTTCAATGACATTCTTTGCAGTACTTGTCATGCTAGATAATTTATGAGAAAAGGCGGATAAACCAACCCCGTCCGAGTTGGTGAAAGATGGTTTTTTTGGCAAAAATATAGCCCCACATAATTCGGCCTGCAGGAGCCGCGGACCCGAAGGATATCGAAACAAGGACAGTCGTTTGCATGCATGGCAGATTATTTTCGTACGAATCCACTTGACTTTGTATTGTTTCGCGTAGTCAAACCAAGCATTCTCAATCCTAACAAGTTGTTACTCACAAATGTTTTATTTCTTGTATGTTTTGTCCATACGCTAACCATTCTCGAAAAGAATTACACGCAGCTTAACCCATTTAACTCTCGAATCGTACGCTGAAGTGTTCCATTTTCATTATGGGAAATTCTCAAAGTCCACCTCAAATTTATCCCACGGAAAAGGCGGTCCACTAAGCCAATCATTGAGAATATCTATAGCAGATGATGGGCTGACACGATTCGTATCACCAGATTCAAAGGCATTTTGGAAATTTTCAGGGTGAAATAGAGACGTGCTGTGCGAGGTATCCGAAAATCTCAGTGAGTCCTGTTGTTGGTTGTATATCCCTATAGGCAACCGTTGTGATTGTACCAGCTTCTTAGCAACTTGGGTGAAAGTGGCGCATATGTTATAAAGGTGTTCTGAACTTTGAGAGGCATTTCGGGAATGTTCCAAAGTGCCCATCACTTGTTCAAGAAGTACGACATTTGCCATGTCCTTTGCAGCAATAGCATGAAGGAAAGTAACAATAAACGGAATGAAAGAGGAAGACAAAAGAACCCTGAAAGTGTCAGTGGATTGACTGATTGAAATCGAGCAAAAAGTGAGAGAACGGACCAATTGAGATAGTCAGCATCTGAGAGCAGTTGGGATTTCTGGTATTGCGGAAAGAAATCCAGATGAGCCCGTAAACTATTACGGGCTGCATGGAAACAACGGGGGCTAATTTGCAATTCCACTCCGATGGCTGAGGACGCATGAAAAAGCAATGTGAGGGTCGAATAAAAGAGTATGTCCCAATTGCCTCTGGACAAATCAAACGCCTGACGATTATTGACTCCTTCCGAATTAATCTGTAGATTGTCAGTTGACCCAGAGGTAGATAGACTCAGTTGTCTCATCTCACCTGCTTAAGTTCAAAATGCCATTTTTCCATCGCAACTGCAAGGTCACTGATAAGTTGTGATCGTTCAAACGAAACCCTTGCCATAGTGGCGGTAGAGTAAAGACCAACGAAGATCCGACCCTGAAGTTCCGCTAGCCTTATTCCCATAATGAAAGACTCATCCCACGCTCGGAGAGCCAAATCCGTTGAAATAATTGGATATTGTGTGTCAATTTCGAGACCCTGCATATTAGAGACACGGCCCAGCACAAGGGACATATTCTTATCAAAGGCGTATACTGTCCAAAACAACCGTCGGATGCTCTCTGCCTTACTAGATGGGATGCTTTGATAGGTCGATTCACGGTGATAACCGAGCGATTGGCAATGGGTGACAGCAGCAGAAACGAGCTTCCAGTATAAGTAGGGTTTTGCTTCTCCCTGAGACTTAAGCATCTGAGACTTCGATTAGCTTGTTGATAGGATAAAAGGATAGGGAAGATCCATTTAAGCCATGTGCAGACGCCTGGTTCTACTTACACCCATAGTCAATGCAAGGATATTTTCGAAGCTCGGGACAGCAAGTACTTCGTAGGTTTCCACCGCAACGACGAAGTTTTGTTCGCAGTGATCCAAGTAGGTAGCGAGGTCGAACCTCTGACAGAGCTGATCTTTCATTGCTATAAGCTCTTTCAGAACAAAAAATAGAACTCCATGCATGCTGGCAACCTCGCCAGCGGATGCTAAGTCAGAGGTAGAGTAGACACTTTGGCATAAGTTTTCAACTAATGATAGATCACTGATGGCATAGGATGAAAGAAAAACGGGACGGCGAACTAGAATAGTTCAGAATGAAAAGCTTGTGAGTAGGAAAACTTTCCACAACAACAATGTGTCTGCCAGTGGAAGAGGTATAGCATACCTCTCATTCTTTGCAGGATACAAGTCACTAGGGTAGGAGGCAGAGGCTGAGCTGTCGATACGAATTGTGAAGTTGACTTGCGAAAAAAGAAATTATACTTTGATAGACTTTGTGAGGCGCGAAGAGTTTTCTGTAGTTGATGGAACGAATGGTCCATAGCTGAGCCATCACTTGTATGAGTAGAGAGGGCTGCCATTCGAACACTCTCACTGGCTTGGAATGACTGGTTTGTGAACGATGGCTCGCCTTCGAAAAGATGACCGTTTTCGACCGGCTGGGATGCAAGAGATGAGACATCTAAGTTGACCGCATCCCCAGTCACAGGGATTGGTTGCGAGTGTTCCAAGGCTGCGAGTCTGGATTCGACGCTGCGAAGACGTCTCTCGAGACGGTCTGCGAGACTTTCACTGCGCAATTATCAGCATTATTCTGAGTTAGTGCCCGCAACACATACAGACTAGCTACCTTATCGGCTTGTAGCTGACTTCTTGGCTTTTCATTAGGATGTCGACATGTAATCTGGGTTGCCTGGCAGTTTGCACAAGGTATGGTGCGATCGCAGCGAATCTTTGAGATTCTTAGCGCACATCATTGTCTGTGGACCAAGTCTCCCATGGAGCACGTACCTTGCGAATTTTGCATCCTTCGCACTACAAAGCTGTTAGATGTGAAAAAAAATATAGCTCGATATTGGAGCCTTACCGCCCGTGGGACCGACGAAAGCCTGTGTCGCCTCGCCTGAATTGTTTCTTCAGCATTTACTGGTGGCATGGTGTTCTGTGAAACGAACTTGCGTCTGTGTCGGAAAGAGATTCTTCGCTCCCTCGGACCCGCGATTCCGATGACCCGATAAACGCCAAGCCAATATACATCATCCTTAGCACAGACAACCAGGCTATTTAGGTTACACTACAAGTGTTCTATAATCAACGAAGGCACTCAACTTGGTCCTGAATATGTACTCTAGCCGGTGCTACCAGTAACCTAATACGTGACATGTTTGTTGAAATCCATTGATGTCGTAGCGTTGCTGTTCGCTTCGAGACGTTGGCATAGTAAGAAACGAAAGAAAAGTAAATATCAAGAGCTTTGCGAATATCAACGATTAATGAAAACTTCGCTGGCCTATACTCGAGCTCGCCCGCCACTAGCTTCCCGTAAAACCGCCTTCCATTCTATATCCAGTAGGTCATCTGCATGAATCGAAACCTTGACATCAAGCGCCCTTCGAAGCTGCTCCTTGGTAGCAGCATACAGCATACGAAACTGGCAATGAGATCAGATGGCACTGGTGGTAATGGAATATTGAGATTGTAAAAGAACTTACTCGTGTAGATGTTTCCACGGGCATCCAACTGATAAAGATAACTGTTGCTCTAGAGATACTCAGCAAAGAACATGTCACAGTACACTGAGTAGGGTTCCGAAACTAATACAATACCTTCGACCGTCGTCGTTCAGGTCATATTCAACATCGTATACTGCGTAACGAGGTGCAGGATTTCCTTCATGGTCAACGGCGGAAGTGAGCTTCTTGAGGAATGCTTCATAGTTCTTCTCAGAAGAGCTCTCCTCCACAATGACGGAAGTATTGTCCTCAGAGATTCTGTAGATCACAAAGGTAGGCCTACTTGTTCCTCTATGATAGAGGAGCCTCTTGAACGCGGCAATGCATTCATTCGGGACATTAACACTAATTTTCATGAGATTAGTGTGAGATCTTGGTTTTGAGGAGCTTGTAAATGATCGATAACGCACCCTGATGGAATCTAACATTTGGTGACATTGTAAGTGACCGATTTGTTGATTCTGGTGGTAGGTAGTACACTGACCGACATGTTGGCTGAGATAGAATGTGTCACTCAGGATAGCAGTTTTAAGTCCACACACATCAACAGTGTCTAATAGCTACTTAAATGGCACAAGTCTTGTTCCAGGCAGAACTGTAGTGAGCGAAAGGGGACAGTTATCGGCTGCCCGGCCCCGTGGGCCCGGTCTCGGGGGCCGAAGAGGCGGGCATAGCCAACCCGTCTAGCTCCATTGTCTGACAAGCAAATTAGAACAGACTATGCAGAGAGAGAAACATGTTTACCTACCCCGAGGCTGGCTCAGTGGCTCTCTACGGCATATGCAGTCTTGGCCGTATACGATGGCCGCGCTAACACGGTTCTGCGGATTCTTGAGATGGTGAACTGAAATAGATTAGCGTATCTCGGCATTACTCGCGGGGAATTGATGCGTGAGACTGGAGAGAACTGACTTCGAAAAACTACTGTACATTCTGGATATGTTCGATTCCGACATAGGCCCTCTTATTGCAGGGTCAGAGATTGATAACCCCTACAATGCATTGACGCTACACAGCTACTATCAGTTGTTCAGAGAATGTGAGATAAATTTCGAACATGGACCCTAGTATTGAGCGTACATTTATCGTCGACCCTACCGAACAAAGACCCTTTTTGCGTGATCCTCTATTCCCAGTTATCCACGAACTTCATCTCAGCCTTGGGCTTCCTATTGATATACCCGCTAGTAAGCTCCTTAAGGTCTAGGGGTGTTGACGATATCCGCCCCGGCAATATTCGATATCCGCCGTATGATTTAGTGATCATATGTTTAGAGATAATTGGAAATAGAAAGAAGTAATAGTCAAGGCTGTAATTATTGGAGAACGTGGTCGGTAAGCGAGCGACGCAACTGACCACACCACCTAAATTGGAATCGATTTTATTAACCACCAACGCCATTAAATTCATTCAGCTATCTACTAGGACATTGGCTAATCTTATGCCCTACATTCCCACATGGACTACATGTTGGTGGCCGGCGCGGCCGCCACCATCTGGGTGACTATCTCAACTTCGGGAGGCTGGTTTAGGTTATGATTCATGGTCTACTATCATCATTTGGTGGTGCTCGAACATTCCTGAAGGGTTAAAGTTTAGAAGAGCAGATGTTGAATTGTTGATTATCAGATGCTTGCTGCAGTCAGTAGCCTCAGCCATCTGAGACGATTCAGTGATCCATTACATATAGAATGTGAGGACCTGTGGAATCGACGCCGAAAATGACCGCTACTGAGGCCATAAACGGCCGCATTTCCACCCGTAAGTCTCAGTGGTGAGCTACCGCCCTGACGTCCTCACGTACTTCGCACCACTATTCTAGGGCCAGTGGCTCTGTGGTATAGACACTGAGCCTGGCTAGCCTGCCGGTGCGCACATCACCAGGCAGTTTGTAGGTTCGAATCCTGCCTGACCCTACGCCCACAAATCTTGTCTATACCAAGTATCTATCTCTCGCAGGTTTTTCCCCGAGCCTGGGTGAGGTTTTCCCCCTGCGAAAACAACAGGTAAATGCCGGATAGATTCGCTATGCCTCTCGACTTTACTGCGACCCAGGCGGCCTCATATTGAGCATCCTCCCGCGCGGGATGTGTTTTTTGTACATAAATAGCCTCAGGCTCTAGCCAGGCAGTTCCGCTCTGCCCGTCGTATATTCCGTTACCGGGATCTCTCACCGACGTTAAATAGCAACTACTACTACTACTACTACTACTGACTCAAGACACTACTTGATGGCACCTGTCACTCGCTTCGCAGCCAGAGACCACGCCACAGGCACGCCCCAACAACGGGACAACAGCCTGATCCATGGCATCGCCAAACCGGCGGGAATCCGCAAACGACCAAAGCCAGATAAGCCAGATAAACAGACACCCCTAGTAGAGAACACCCCAGATGATCTGGACACAACTCTGCCAACCTCAATGTCACCAGACATGGACATGGACCTGGACATGGATTTGATAGATAATCCACCACCAGCTCTCCCAGAGTCCCGGAGTCCGGATGGGCAGCTGGACCATGAACTGACAAGCCATGTCAGTACTATCCTACAAGCCCGGGCTACAAGAGAAAGGCAAGAAGATGAGGACATACTGGAGATTCTATCCCTACTAGATGAGAAGATCTCCTCCATGAAACAAAAAGAACAGCCTAGAGCTCTTTCCTTTGGCAAGGCTCTGCATACATTCGTGCAGAGTTTTTTCATCCAATCAACTGCCAAGATACAAGACCAAAGCCCCACAGTCAATCCAGCCCCAGCTAGCCGCCCCCAGACATACGCAGCTGCCATTGAGTCCAAATCTGACAGCAAGACCACAAGGAAATCATATACCACGCCCCCTAAGCTAGGAAGACCTCTCCGCCTTTTCCTCCGGCTCCCAACTGATCACCCTGCCCGGCAGGCCAGCCCGTATGCAGTACTACAGAAGCTGCGGAATGATCTGGGCCCAACAGCGACCAACACCATAAAAGAGATTCAACATATTCCCACAGGGCTTGCAATTGGGCCTAGAGACACCCAAAGCGGACAGATCCTGCTCGACAAGAAGGAGGAAATACAACAGACAATCCAGGGCTCTAATGCTGAGCCAGAACAGAAGTGGGCCATCTTTGTGATTCCAGGAGCTACTAAACAGTATATGGGCTATGATGGCTCGGTAGTTGCAGTGTCAGAGCAAGCAGCAAAAGAGGAATTCAAACTGCAGACTGGCACCTCACCCCTTAAGCTACACTGGTCCAGAAAGAGCCACATATCTAACACAGATAACACAGCAACAATTGTTCTGGCAGTTCCGGAGACTGCGGCCTCAAGAATCCCACATTGGATCCATTTCTTTGGCAAGAACCTCCGCATAGTACGCAAAAACATAAACCCCAGAATCCAACAATGCACCCGCTGCTGGGACTTTCATAGCCCCAGGACATGCACTCGACGACCTAAATGCCGACTGTGCGGGGATAAAGACCACACTGAAGAGAACCATGAGGCCCCCACACCTCACAAGAACACCCAGCAATGCGCAAACTGCTTAGGTCCAGCTCCAGCAGATCACAAAAACTGCCCTGTACGTCCCAGCATCAAGCAGGGCATTTTGGTCCGGGTACCCAAGACTCAAATAGCAGCCATTCGGCGAATTGAATCTGGCCGGCATATGAACCCCACCTCTGAAGACAAAGACCCAGAAGGAGGCTCTAGTCCCATACCACCCCAATGAGATATGACAAAACACTTCCACAGCTGCGGATCATCCAGGTCAATGTGGCCCGGAGTCCCTCCCCTCATGAAGCTGCTCTCCAACTTGCTTTCGAACAAGACTACCATGTCATTCTTATCCAAGAGCCATGGATTTCTGCTTTCCGCACACGACGCCTCTCTAAACACCACCCTGCCTTCAATCTATTCACACCAATAGAAGACTGGGCATGCAAACCACGGACCCTCACATATATCCGCAAACACCCACAGCTTAAAGCAGAGCTTTTGCCATATGGCCCCCATCCCAGCCGGGACTTGACAGCAGTCCAGGTGGGTTCAGGAGACCAGCAAGTGACACTACTGAATCTGTATAATGCTCCCCCTGGCTCTGTGGAGGCAGGGGAGGGGCTGAAACACCTCCTAAGCCAGACCCTCCCTTCCAGGCCCTGTTTGGTCGCAGGGGATTTCAATCTCCACCATGCATCCTGGCAGACCAATACAATCAACTCAGCAGGAGCAGAGCATTTCCTGCAATGGGTAGATCATCAGGGGATGACCTTGATGCTTGAGCCAAACACCCCAACACATGATAACAACACCATCGACCTCACCTGGGCCAATAGGCCTCTGGTCTGCCTAGGAACACACACAGAGCCAGCACCAGGGTTCCCAGTCCTAGCAGACCACATAGCTCTGTCCACAACTGTCCATTGGCACCCTACCAACAACACAAAGCCTGTGCCGCCCCTCCGAATGGCCACTATGCAGGAAGACATCTTTCATTCAGTCATCCACAAGGAAGCAACAGCTTTGGGCAAACCACCACCAGCACAGCTAGACCTCACACCTGAAGCTCTGGACCATTACACTTCTGCAATCACACAAGCAATCACAAATGCCCTGGAAGCATCCACAAAAAGAGCCCATGCTCACCCATCAGGCCATAGATGGTGGAATAAGGACTGCCAGGACACAGTAGTGGTGCTCCGAAGAGTCTCACAAGACCCAGATAGCCCCCTAACTGAAAGAGAAACAGCACAACAAAATTTCCGCCGCACAATACGCCAAGCAAAGCGCCAATACTGGCAAACACAACTGGACAGCTTCACTGACAGCCAGGATGTTTTCAGAGCAATCAAGTGGAATAGGACAGTGGGATCCTTCCCAATCCCACCTCTCAAGAATGGAGATATAGTCCACACCACTTCTGACGCCAAAGCAGAGCTCCTAGTAAAAACCCTCCTCCAGAAGGCTGCCTGTACAAATGACATCCCCTTGGACAATAGTGATAACCTGGAGGCAACCCTTCCCTTTCCAACCATCACACCTGGTGAAGCATACCAAGCTATTTTCCGAGCCAAGAGCAGCTCACCTGGGCAAGATGAGATATCCAATGCTGTCCTGAAGAAGGCCTGGCCTGCTCTCGGCCCCCATATTTCAGCTCTGTACAAACATTGCGCTGCAACTGGATGGCACCCAACTCCCTTCCGACAAGCCCTGTTGGTAGCCCTTCCCAAGCCAGGGAAGAAGGACTACAGTAGCCCATGCTCATACAGACTAATCGCTCTCCTCTCTACCTTGGGGAAAGGACTGGAACGCCTTATTGCCCAGAGATTAGCTTGGACAGCCATCAAACACAAGGTGCTCCACCCCCAACAATTTGGGGCCCTTCCCTGCCGTTCAGCTTCTGACCTGGCGGCAGCTTTGGTGCATGATATTGAAGAATCTTGGGCCCGGGGTCTCAGTGCCTCCATACTAACTCTGGATTTGAAAGGCGCATTTGACGCGGTCCTTTCAGGCAGGCTGAACCACCGACTCCGTAGCCAAGGATGGCCTACCACAGTGCTCCGCTGGGTGTCAAGTTTCACCCAAGACCGAACAGCTGCTATATGCTTGGATGGGCATCAGAGCCCAACCTTTGCAGTCCCAGCAGGCCTGCCTCAGGGCTCCCCAGTCTCACCAATTCTGTTCATGCTGTACATTGAACCTGTCTTCAAGATAGGTCCAACAATCGCATGCAGAGGTCGTTTTGGATATGCAGATGATATCTGCCAACTAGTTGTCAGCAAATCCCTTGAAGAAAACACCACCAGGCTACAAAACATCACAACAGACCTGATAGAATGGGGCCAAAGAGAGGGTCTCACCTTTGACCTGGCCAAAACAGAACTCCAACACTTTGCCAAGGGATGGAAAAGGAACAATCCCACCTGTTCAATCCAAACCCCTGAGGGCACAGTGGAGATTAAACCTCCCCAACTCAATGAGGCCACATGATGGTTGGGTATCTGGTTTGACCGGAAACTCAAATTCAGAATACACACCCAGACACTGGCGGCCAAGGCAAGACTGGCTGCTGATGGCATCCAAGCCCTGGCTAACACTGTATGAGGAGTTAAAGCTCCCCTACTGCGGCAAGCAACAATTGCCTGTGTGGTCTCAGTTCTGTGTTATGGGGCTGAGGCATGGTGGCCAGGGCGGAGAAGATTAAGACAGGACCTCTCAGGCAGACAGAAACTCATCTCCAATGGGGTGGGCGCCCAGATAGCCTGTCTGGATCAGGTACTCCGCCATGCGCTCCTAGGGACCCTCCCAGTTTACAGGACCACCCGAACAGCCATACTCCATCGGGAGTCAGCTGTACCGCCCATGGAACTACTCCTCGACCAAAGACGGCGGAACCTGGCCATCAGAATCCACCAACTAGACACCCAACACCCCCTGCACCTCCGGGTCACGCACCAACCAAACTGGTATATTAGTACCCGCTTACTCCGGGCTGCTGACCCGAAAAACTTCCACTCCATCGAGCAAGTGGACCCGCTGCTAACAAGCCCCTGGGACTCAAATCTGGAGCCCAAAGAGCAGCCAACCACTACCTCAAAGGCACAGGCCAGGGAAGAGTTTCAGAGATGGCTGGATTTCATCCCACCACTGTCAATGGTTGTCTATACAGATGGGTCCAAAGGAAAAGAAGGCACGGCTGCAGGTGCTGGCTGGGCAGGCTATTGGGGAACCAGCAAGACCAAGATCTTCAGTGGACATGCAAAGCTCCCCAACCATGAGGTTTTTGATGCAGAGGCTAGAGCAGCCCTGCTGGGCCTACAGGCAGCCCTAAAGGATCCCAAAACCCAGCACTCCACGAACATATATATCTGCCTGGACAATCTTGAAGCAGTGCAGCAACTCCAGCGTCAACCCAAAGGTTCGAGTCAGTCGATTTTCATGAACTTTCAAGAGGCTGCCTGGACATGGCCACAACACCCCAAAGCACCCGGCATACAGTCAGGCACAGTGCAGGTGAAGTGGGTCCCTGGACACTCAGGCATTGAAGGAAATGAAGAAGCAGATAAGGAGGCCAAGATGGGTTGCTATGCTCTTGTGGAGCTCCCTCCCCCACCAGCCTCACTGGCAGCCGCTAAGCGGGCAGCTCAGAGGGTGCACTGGCAATGCTTTGCACAATTCTGGGCAGAAAAGGCCTCCAAACGCTACAAGGACCTTGGCATAGGCATAGAGAAGCGACCACCAGAGCTCCAGCTTCCCCAAGCAGCCCTGGGCCGCCTCCTTGCTGCCAGGAGCAGTCATGGTGACTTTGCAGAGTACCATGAGCGCTTTAAACATGATGATGCTTTGCTGACATGCTCATGCGGCCGCAGGAAAGAGCCCTCCCATTTCTATTTCTGCCGTGAGGGCCGCAAAGCAGAAGCACATCCATGGGGTCAACAACCAGTAGCAGACATCCTCACTAAGAAGACAGGTTTCACCGCATATGTGTGACGGCTTGACGTCGTGTCTACGGTTTGACGTCGTGTCGACGACTCGACGCTGTGTCTACGACTAAGTATGACAAACGAATCGAACAAAGTCGACATGGATAGAACCATACCGTACAGTCATCTATAAATAACCCCTTCATCTGCTAGATAGAATTCCTTTCCTTTTGCTTCTTCAGATTCGAGATTCCCGTCGATGGCTACTAGTTGGTTTAGATAGGAATATCAATTCGTTAATATCTACTAGCTACCGAGCCCGTGACATAATATCGAATCTCCTCTCCTTTCCTTTTTTCACACGCCTACCTTATTGGTTTGATCCACTGATCGTAAAACCATAGTAGCGCGACTCCACATACCGACGACTGAACGATACGAAGATCCTGGCCAGTATGGCTCGACCGAATGATACCGTTGCCACCCCTAGGGCCAACCGAGACGAGACAATTGACGATGATAACCACCGAGAGAACCGACGAACCTCCATCATGATCAATGGAGAAGAGGGTGAAGGACAACACATGGTGACTCTGGAGGAGTTCCTACAGTTCGTCTCAGAGAAGCCTGAGTGGTTCTATGAGAAGCTCCAACAAGTCCACCAGCGATATGAGGAGTGCCTGGAGGATCGTGAGGCTCAGCTTGCAGGAGAGGAGCTTCAGGGTCAGACCAAGGACGGACAAATCGCAATCCTGCGTCAGGAGCTGGCTGAGGTTAGAACTGAGCGAGACGCTTTCGCTACCCAAATCGCCCGATTGATGATGAATACTGCCAATGATGGCCGACGAACTTCCCCTGCACCTGCTGTCCGAAAGTCAACCAAGATTCCTGACCCCCCTATGTTGACTGATGGTAAGGAGCCCCGATTCGAAGACTGGTTGCTTCTGATATCCCAGAAGTTAGCCGCCAATGCAGACCACTTTGATACCCCTCAGCTTCGCATGGCGTACATTGCCAGCCGCTGCGAGGGCAAGGCCCGAAAGCACATTACACCACGTATGAGAGATGATGTTTTGAACCCTTACAGCGACTCAAAGGACATGTTGGACCACCTGAAGATGATATACAATGACCCAAACCGTGTCACCACTGCGAAGCTCCAATTTCGACAGTTGTACATGAAGACCAATGACAAGTTCCATGACTTCCTGTCTGAATTCCTGTACCTCGCCGCGGAGGCAGGTGTTGCAGAGGACAACTGGAAGGATGAGCTCTACACCAAGTTGACGACCAAGCTCCAAGAGCTGTGTATCTCAACAAGCTACCAGGATGGACCATTCCAGGATTTCTCCAATGCAGTATCTCAGACTGCAAGTCGATTGGAAGTTATCCATCACCGAAACCAGAAGAACCGAGTGTTCACCCCCAACAAGGATACAAGCAAGGGGGTTAACCAATCTAGCACCACTGTCAAAAAGGAACTGACCCCATCCCAAAGCCCTAGTTCTACCGCCTCACAGACTAGCGGTGTCGGACGTGACCGACTAATGAAGGAAGGCAGATGCTTCCACTGCCAGGAACACAGACATCTTGCTCGAGACTGTTCTGCCAAGCCCCTGACCCCCGAATTGAAGGAGCTTGAACAGAGAGTGTTCGAGAATGAACTGGACATCAATGCGGGAAAAGTCTAGCCCAGGAGAAAGTCTCCGACCTGGGATTAGATGGTGTCAACCTAGGTGACTTGGATTTTAGTCAACTAATTGGAGGACAAGGATTCAATGTGAATAGTCAGATAGCATACAATGGAATCAGTATTCCTCTGACTGCCTTGGCTGATACCGGAGCAAATGGTTATCTTTTTATGGACACTCAAAAGGCAGTTGAATTAGCAAAGTTCTTTGGGATTCCCACACGACGGCTCAACACACCCATTGGGACAAAGGGGTATGATGGACGAGCCGGTTCAACCATCACCCATGTGATCGTCTGTCACCTACTCATTGACGGACGACGATTCCTAAACCAACCCTTCCTGATCGCTCACTTGGGACAGCACGACATGATCATCGGACGCAAATGGCTCAATGACCATGATGTCTGGCTGAATGTCAGACACCGGAAACTGGTTTGGCCTGAGCAACGAACCCTTCTGGACAGCATTCAGAGCAAGCAGTACCTGGAGACCCCAAAGCAGATCCTGCAACGTTCAGAGCCGAATCCCATCCACCAAGCCGATATGGAGCGACGTAATCGACTATTTAAGAAAGAGGAGCGACGGGAGCAATATCGAATTCCACGGAAAGAGGAGACAGGCCGGCAACTAGACATGGCAAAGATGTCACGTGCTCTCGACTCCACGACTGATGAAAGTCGAGGTGGATCAATAGTTTGTCCGATTACCGAGGCCGGCAGATCCCTCATATACGGACACACACACTCGTTTAGATAGCCAAGCACTCATTCTACCATCTACGGTGTCTATAGATATCATTGTCACCCTCCGTATAATCTAAGTTTCTTCTTCATATATAGCCTCGTGCAGTCCGGATAATCGACTCCCCGACTTCCCCGACTCGGAGTTAACCGCCTTATTGGTTTATCCGTTTCATTGGTTATGAGCCC